TCGTCGAGTTTTCAAAAAATTCCGTAACTACATCGGCGGTTGCGGCGGGACGAGTTATCGCAATTCCTTTTATGTACTAAATTATTTCCATGTGGGATTGGTTTAATACCGCACACATCTCAACCATTAGCGTTATTCTCGCAGAAGATGCAGCCCGCCCAAACGCGTTACAGTACTCTTGGTCACGAATTACTCGCAATTTACCTTGCTATTCGCCATTTCCGGCACTTGTTAGAGGGTCGATGCCACTATAACCGACCTCAAGCCACTCACCTATGCCTTCAACGCCAAGCCTGATCCATATTCACCACGTGAGATACGCCATCTTGAATACATTTCACAGTTCACCGCCGACATTCGGTACGCTCCAGGTTCGGACAATGTCGTCGCAAATGCCCTATCCCGTCCTGATATCAACGCTCTTCCCCCATCCACACAGCTGGACCTAGCCAAGCTGGCTAACTTTCAAAATGGTGATCCTTATTTTTTACCCACTCTATATCTTTCCCCTCATTTCAAGTCTCTTCAATTCCCTTACCCCTCCAGTCCGGAACCAGTTTTTGTGATATGTCTACAGGCTCCGCTCGCCCAATCGGCTCCGAAGCTTTTCGACGAGTTGTTTTCGGCAATTTTCATCGATTTTCTCATCCGGGAATCAGAACAACCAGGAAGTTGATTAGTGCACGCTTTGTATGGCCCATCATGAATAAGGATCTGACATCCTGGTCCAAACAGTGCATCGCCTGTCAACGCAGTAAAGTCACTCGGCATAGGAACTCACCTATCGGTTCATTTGCCGTTCCTGATGCTCGATTCACGCATGTCCACCTCGACATTGTTGGCCCACCTTCCCAATCAAACGGTTTCACTCATATTCTTACCATGATCGATCGTTTTACCCGTTGGCAGGTAGCTCTACCCACTTCGGATACTTCAGCTGAAACGGTTGCTTTTACATTTTTGGAGCAATGGGTGAGTAATTTTGGTATACCTTCCACCGGTACTACCGATCGCGGTTCACAATTTCAGTGTAATCTCTTCCGGGAATTTTTTACACTATCCGGTTTCCATCACATATCGACTAACGCGTATTACCCCTGTTCAAACGGTTTGGTTGAGCGTTTCCATCGCTAACTCAAGGCTGCACTGACTGCCTAAATGAACACATCTTCATGCTCCACTTTTTAACCCCTCATTTTGCTTGCTAGTCACTCCACTATTAAGAAGGATCTCCACTGTTCCCCTTGTATACGGTACAACTCTACGTCTACCCGGTGAACTAGTTTTCCCTTCTGGCGCACAGCCCGAATCGACCGGTACATTCGTCTCCTACCTGAAACAATACATGTCCGAACTCCGTCACTCCGAACGTCACTCCAAAATACTTTGTTTTAGAGAGAAGCGGAAAGCGTGATACCATCTCCACTGATCGCCTCAATCCTGCCCACATTGAAGCACCCACGACCACATCCAGCAATCCTGCTATCCAAGCAACACCCACACCTACCCAAGATTTCCCACCCGCCGACCTTACTCCCTCCGCTAGTCGTTCCGGACGTCTCGTCCGTTTCCGTCAGCACTTAGCTGATTACGAAACTTGAAGTGAGCAACTTTGTGATTCGCTACTTTATTTATTCGAGCGTTTTCCCTATTCATGGTCAACGTTCTAGTGTGGGAGTGTTGTGGCGTTTTGTACTTTATTTTACTTCGCTGGCGCTTGCAGCGGACATCCGCGAGTCTTATGTACTGACTCTGATAGCAAAACATTTCAGACTATCTTCGGAATCTATTATATGTGGGAACTGTTCAGAAGAAGACCTCTGGACCAACACATTTGGATTATTGTTGATTCGCTGACCTGGGCGAACGACGAACTATTTTAACTAGAACAATTGTTAGTGAGTCTCTTTCATCTGACATTTTTATTTTTGTATACCCAACCTAGGGTTATTTTTTATTTCTTCGCCACACACTCTTGGTAAACTAACTTATTGGGTAGCCAGACCACTACATCCCATTCGGTCACCTGCCACTCTTTGGTCGTTTGATTAAATCGTTTGATTGGGCTGATAAGTTACCGTCCGTATCCGTCCGGTTCCCAACTTCTGTAAGCAACTGCTGAGCTTCCAAATGAGTGTAGTTGCGCCGATTGGGTACAATTTGGTTTCAAGTAGAACCTGTGATTGACAGAAACTCGGGGACTGCGCCTCCGTGATGAGCCCCGAGAAGGGCGACACCGGTGGTGGGCTGTAAACTAATTTTCGGCAACCTTATGAGTTCCCCGCTGCAAATACACATGTTTCGCGATATCTCGAATATCGGCCTGGTGCAGTAAATTCAGCAGCTTAGAAACATCACAATCATGAAATTCAACTGGGTTTCAGGTGAGTCACCCGGCAAACCAAGCATCGTAAATTCGTTTGCAAATGAGTGGACATTCTCCAACACTTCAGCTGTTTGCTGTCACTGCAAGGCCTCTGATAGTTTACGATAACCTTCGGCATCCAATGGTTGGTGCGTTACAACTCTGCTGCGGCAGGTGTTTTGTCTCAATCAGGATAAACTGAATTCCGCCGGTCGTCATTGGAGAATGGAAGATGACATAAACGGCTCAGAAATAGGCGATTTCCGAGACAGGTGTAAATTCCATGGGATGCTGCATCCTGTCGGCGATAGCTCGTGGCACTTGACTATCAGCTTCCGTCTCTAGACGCGTGGTGTCACGGACAACACAACATTGCAATTGCCGTGCTACAGAAATTTATACCAGATTCACTCAGAACCAACCGATCGGATTCACGCTGGAACCTTTCCAATTACTTGTTTCTCTCTCAGCACTTAATACGCCTTCCATCTATCGAGGTGGCCGAAACCTTCCATAACAAAGGACCCTGCCGTTTCAGTTGCAACAACCTTCCGGGCTCCACTTGAACGACGATATTATTGGCACCAATCATGACCATGGGGACCCCCTCTTGAGCCTCTGGTCTTGACAGCCAATCATCCGGATGTCACGTGTCGGATATTGAAGTGATTATCTTGCAACCGCAGTGCCCAGCGCACCTGCGTTCTGTGGGGATCTCTGGTGGTCCTGATCCACTCTACAGTCTTGTGGTCGGTTTCGACATGTGATCTTCGTCCAAGCAGACGCGACCCCAAGTGATCCAAGGCCCGGACAATGGCCTAACATAATTTCTAAATCGTCGAATACTTCTGATCTGCGTTGGTCCGGAAACGACCGGATTATACGGTAACTCTTTTCCTACCCCGATACCGCGATCACTAGCGTTCGTTGCAACAGTGAACATCCGTTCGACACTGGTCGATTGCTGATCGCGTATCCGCGGATTGACACGTTCGAAAGCCTCATGTGCTTCTCTGATCCACGCGGATTTCAGGTTTTGTCCGAGCAAGTCCCAAGTGGAGCAGCAATAGAATGGAACTCCTCGACTAACCGGCAGTAGTATACTGCTCGTCAGGGAAGCTGCCGTAGAGACCGGTTGGAACTGGGAACAGCACAGTTCTCGAGCTTTCCCAGCTCTTCTGGCCGTGAACCAACAACCCGTGGCCCACTTTACGCCCCATGAGTATCAACGAACACCAAGCAGGCTAGGGTTGAATAAACGGTCCGTAAATCGGGTTGCAGCTAACCCTTCAGTTGCTGAGATTTTCGACTACATCAAGCACTCCCCATATTTCACGGTGTTGGGCTTGCGTTACGAATAGCAAATATCTGTCAAGGCAGAAAACCGGGATAATACGGTGTTCACGGTTGAGAATAATGTGTAATAATTTGATCGGATGCCGTTTGTTTTGTCTCAGGCACGATCCACATTATCCGAGGCTCAGATGATTAATGTCGATAATTTTTCCCACCACAGATCAACCACGGATTCTGCGTTCTTGACAAAATGTGCACCCAATTCGTGCGCTTTATGTCCGGGCTGATCAAGTGATCGTGCTGCACGGACCTATCGCCTGGACGCATTGAGTGCATTGACAATCCGTATGTCAGAATCACCCGCTGATCTCATGGGTAGCGCACATTGAGTGCATTCAGCTTCGTTTCATTCCCGTCTCAGCGATACCCCTTCACCTGTATTAATCAGTCACAGCTTGCTCTTCCTGTCTCTCTCGATGTATATATGGTGGTCTCTGTCACTGCGTTTATCGAAACTTACTCTCGAATAAAGCAGCAATCCAATGTTTATCATATACAAGTGGTCGAGTACCAGGACATCGATTGTTTCGGTGGCGAGCCTTGCAACATTTGATGCAGCGGCCAGTTGGTGCATGCCTCTGTAAGTCTGCCTTTATGGGAGCAAGCAGTTTGTAGTCCACTTTGTTCTTCAGGTCATCCACTGTTGAATCATCCCTGTTCCCCTGCGACTGCAACGTGGTCAGTGTTACCTCAGCCGATGCTCGTACCAGATACATCATGTGTTCCGCACTCACGTGAACAGTTGCTGTTGCCAACCGCTCGAATCGGGTCACCTCTACTGGTAGACACTGGAGATATCATCGATTCTTCCTCTAGGGTGCTTGTCCGTTAGCGGTGGATCGAAAGAGGATGGCTTTCCGGGAGCGCCTGGATAATAGCAAAGGTGACCGAGATAATGAAATGATGAAGGAGAAGAAGTACCGGACAGCTTCATAGTGGTTCACGCGCTTGATACCGTACGTTCTCAAGTCCGTGTAACGCTTGATCAGGCCAACGCATTTAAAACATCATGACATTCAGCGGGAAGGAGAGCGGAAAGAGTAAATTAAACAAGGGTAACGAGCAACTGTCAAATGACTCTATATGAGATGCGAAACGGAAACATTAAATGTTTATTCAGCTTCGCGGAACGCAGACGGTTTGACATATGGCGCCTTACAAAATCTGATGTGGACGATAAGAAACTCACGACGTATTTTCTAAGTTTTGCTGTAAAGGGGAGGTAGACAATGATAAGAATTTATTAAATTCTGATTCTTTAATCAATAGCTCCCGCAATGCACTAAAAACAAGGTTTGCAGCCCGTCAAATCGACTAACTTTGCAGAAGCCGAAAGAGCTAGGTTAAATATGTTGACCTGCCTCCATTTTCAATCGGTTCATGGTTTCGTATTACAGCTGCAGACATAGGCAGGCTAAGGTGTCTGCACTGCCCATTTGGCGGTCGAACTTTTAAACTATTCGAAAAATCTATGAGCGGTATGAGGTAGTAAATCCTGTAACGGAGACTGATGAAAAAGTGTTGTTTAATTACTCTGAAGGAAATAATCCGAGGATGCAAACGACAACAAATTCGTACCTCAAACGTATTTTCTTGCCCCAAATCAACCGATACATCACTTCACAGATCGTAACTCAAATTCGGTGGTTCAAAATTTGGGATGCGGGAATCATGTGGAAGAACTCCCTCCAGATATTCATGCCCTCAGACGAGCGGAGTGTTTTATCTGCGGTACAACGGTACAATTTCAACTGTTGTCTAAGTCTAGAAAGTGTGTCACTTAAGTTCTGATCCAAATACTGACGTGAAGACATTCACTGGAGACATTTCTAGCCTTTCTGCATCTATTTAGTCCCAAAATTCGTCACGTGTTCTTAAAGTTGCTTCTTGTCAAATTTCACGGTAATACTGGACATATTTTGTATCCTAGTTGGTAGTTGCACTATCCCTGTGAA